TTTGAAGATGTTATTTCATTATAATTCCAATTAAAAGAATCTTTAGCCCTTTATATTTTTTTTTTATCAAATTATAACTTGACAAAAATCTAAAAGATGAAACGTTGAAAATTGTTGTTTTTTCCATCAAAATTGGTGAAAAGAAAAAAATTGGGATAAGAATGAAGTTCTTTTAAAAATTGATAAAAAATTAATGAAAAAGCTAAAGTAATTCATATTAAATCAAAATTTTTATTCAAATTTAAAATCAATTTAGATAAAAATAAAATAAAATTAAAAGAAAATGATGAAAGTTTGAAAATAATTTAAAACCTTCTTATTCATAAAAACTAGAAATCCGTGTGTATATTATATTCATATTGTATTTTTAGTTATGAAATTGAAATCAGAAGAAATGTAACTTAAATTATTGGATTAATAATATAAACATCCTATTAATTATTGTTAAATATCACTTCACTTCATATTTAATAATAAAATTATATATTTGTTTTAATTATAACTTTTAAATTTGTATATTTTCATAACAAAAAGAGATATGTCATAACTCAGTTAATCACATTTAATCAGATTTAACTTTTTTTAATACAAATTATCAAAATTACATTAAATATATTTATATATATATACTTTAATTTTTTTAGACTAATAATTTAAAAAGTTATAAACATAAAAGTTAACTTATAAATTTCATGTATACCGCAGGGTAAAATATTAAATTATTTCAAAATAATTATAATTATATATATTTTTTAATTTATAAAGCACGTGCACAGTACGGGTTATCACTAATATCTATCTATCTATCTATCTATCTATCTATCTATATCTGTATATTATATAAGGAAAATGAGGTATCTAATCTACAAGCTTTGTGAGAGCTCCAATATCTTAATTCTAATTTTTTAATTTTTTGATTTAAAAAAAAAACTCAGCATTTATTGACTTCTCTCAATCCACAAATTCTTTTGACTATGGTTACACACAAAAATAAAGAAGATAAGAATTTAATTATAGATCTCTAAAAGAAATAACATCTAAATTTGAATTATGATTTAGTAATATAATTATTTATTTTTTTGATGTATATATGTCAAACTTTCAAATCACTTAATGGGAAAAATTAATCAATTTTCTAAAATTATTGCTTTTTTAATTTATAAAATAGATTAAAAAATTATTGACTGATTTATTTATTTAATATAAAAAATATTTCATAATCTCTCCATCCTAATCTCTCTCACTGATTTCCCAAAAATGATATTCAGCATTCATGGGTATAGTTTCAAAGTGATCAATTCCTAGCCATGTTGGGTTCTGATGCCAGTGACAAGTCAAGGGATCAAATATGCAATGGTTTGATTCGTTTACAAAAAAAAAAAAAAAAAAAATTCTGATATACGAACAGATAAAATTAATAAATTTGATTTTTATTTATTCAGTTAAAATCTTTTTTTTTACATCTCAATATCCAATTTTAAATTTTAAAAATCTTTATAGTTTATCTAAACAAATCTAATTTGAAAATATCTCACACCATTATACTTTAAATCAATAAAACCTATATGTCTATCACAAATCTAACTCACATCATAACTTACCTAAATAATGATAATTAAAAACAAATAGAAACCACAGATAAATTAAATAAAATAAAAAAATAGATACCCATAGCTCCATCTTAAATAAATTGAAAGAAAAAAAAAACCCCGAATAGAAACCATACAAAAATAAAAAAGATAAAAATTTAGATATGGATCTACAAAAAATATGACAATATCTAATTTTGAATTATGATTTAGTAATATAATTATCTATTTTTGTGATGTATATATATAAATTTTAAATCACTTAATAAGACAAATTAATCAATTTTCAAATCTTATTTAAAGAATAATCTAATTAGTCATCCCAACTCTTAAACTTCGCGGGTACTAGCAATGGAGCTAAAGGATTGGGTTGGGTGATATTTAAGTTGTTGGAAGTAACATTCTCCAACTCTACAAATTTATTTATTTTTTCCCTATGTGATTCTCTTTCTCTACTATTGGTTTGCTTTTGGTTTCGATTTTAGTGAGATTTATGTGTTTGTTTACAGGTTTGTATGGTAGAGAAGAATTATTGGTGATTATGGTTACAATCGAAGTATTTATGTCCATTCTATGCGAAGAATTTTGATCGAATTTTGTTTTCTTCAGTAAAGACCATAAAAATGAAGTAAAAAAATGGAAAATTTAAAACTTATTGAAAATGTGAAAATTTATTGAGAATTCAAGATTTTACTATAACATTAGATTTTTGTATAACTAGGTAAATTTAAAACTTTTAAATATCATTGTGTTCTTTATTTTTATTTTCTTTCTATCCCATTATACTATTGAGAGGGAGTTTTTATATGCACTAGGGCCAAGCTAGGCCAAGGCACAATAATGGGCCGTTCTGTGGGCCGAGTTTAAAAGGGCTGAGTAAAAGGGCCTTGTAAGTTAGCTCGGTCAAAAAGGGCTTTATAGTTAGCTCGGTTACCCTGGTCGGAGGTATGGCTAGCTCGGCCACGGTGTTTGGAACCGAGGTATTATGGCTTCTTTGGGAGGACCTTGCTTTGGTTAGCGCAGTCAGAACTTGCTGTAGTTAGCTCGGTCTCAATGGACTCAATCGAGGTATCAGTGAACAAGGACCGAGCTATGTGTTGCATGTGAAGGTGTTGGTTTGGGTATGACAGAGGTATTGTTAGTTCGGTTACATTGTCATACTACCGAAGTATAACCATCTCACTTGGTTTAAGCAGTAAGGGGGGTGTTGAAGGATAAGCATTATCTTTCAGGAATGTGATTCCTAGGAGGACTCTACATGGAAGAATAAGAGTCCTACTAGGATTGTGCCATGCGGAACCTATAAAAGCTCATAACATCATCTATGGAGAGGTAACACAACTTTGATTCCTGAATTCACAGAGCTTTTGTGTCTATTGTCTATTGTGCTGACTTAGGCATCGGAGGGGTTTCCGGCACACACCCGCCAGTTAGCTCACGTTTGTGTTTTCAGGTGGCAAAGCGACGACGTTTCGAGGAGCGCAAGCTTGATCAATAGGATCATACGAGAAGAATTATTTTGTGCTCGTACAATTGGCGCCGTCTATGGGAATTCCACAAAGAACAAAACCTCTTAATCAAGCTTTCCTCTCTAGTTGAGATCGATGACGCACAATGAAGACTTGCTGCAATCAGCCATTGATGGGCAAACCCCTGAGGGAGGTGGGAGGCGTGAAGGTTTGCCTCTTGTCCCTCCGATGGCGGATTTAGAACCCCAGCGACAGAACCCCCGGAGGGATGTAAGGGAAATGCGAGGTAACAGCCCCCGTCACTCTCAAAGCCTTGAATGACAGGGGCGGAGGATCGACCCTCAGGTTCTGGTAGATCGCGTGAAGGAACAGGACGAGTTGACACGAAGGATGGCGGCGAACATGGAGTTGATGAAGCGCCAGATAAAAAGAAAATAGGTGGCGACAGGAGAGGGGCACAAAGGTAGTATGCCCCATCGCCACTCGGAAGGTCATGGTAGACACACCACAACCTCAAAAGCAGAGAGTAGGAGCCTTAAAATAGGCGACACTCAAACAAGGACGTCTAGGACTCATTACTCCAGGTCTGAGAGAACGAGAACAGAGAGGTCATTTACTGAAGGAAGCACCTATCGACCCTTACGCACGCACCAGACGTTATCCAGGCAGACGGAGTTGCCCAGATCGTCTGATTTGCGAACTGTGCTTGAAGAAAAGGCACGATGGAAGGAGGATGTCAGGGCACACGACCCGCGCAGAGTTTCAGCCCTTCAGTGGTTGGCCCCTCGGACGCATGGGAGCGTCGAGGTAGGAATGCCAATACCGCGCGTTGCCTACGAACCAACGGACAAACCATTAACAAGGTTGCATAGTTCACCGTTCGTTCCGACAATTGAGAACGTGCCGTTACCTTCCGGTTTCCTCCAGCCTAAGTTTACGACTTACGAAGGGAAGACAGATCTCTACATGCACCTAAGCCATTTTCGCCAGGTTATGGCAGTATACTGGCTGAACGAGGCTTTGATGTGCCTCTTATTCCCATCCAGCCTTGGCGACCTAGGTTTAACCTGGTTCGAAAGGTTACCAGAAGGTAGCATCACCTCCTGGGCGCAATTGGCGGAGGCGTTCGTGACTAGGTTCAGAACGAACACCAAAATACCAGTGGAGATCGATCAGCTACTCTTCATTGACATGGGCGACAAGGAGACGCTGAGATCCTAAAACAGTCGTTACTGGGAGACCTTCAACCAGATAGGAGATTGCCCCGCCAATCTTGCCATCGCACAGTACAAAAGGGGGCTACCAATCAGAAACAAGTTGAGGGATTCAATAACTATGGTGCCACCCCTCACGATGGAGGCCTTGATAGAGCGAGTGCACCAGCATATTCGGGTGGAGGAGGATGATGCCCGTGCTAAAACAAAATCTGGCACAGCAGCGATACCAGATAAAAAGACTACAGCAAAAGTCAATACGGTAGAACGCCCCAGCAGCAGGAATGGACGAGGCAGGCGGGCCAACAGAGAGGACTTAGACAAAAGGTGGTTAAGAGTCCGCACTGCCATCACCACGGTGTTCAAAAAATCGATCTACTGAATTCTCAACGAAATACGCGACGAACCTTTCTGAAAGAAATATTGAGAGAGTGATTGAAAGAGCTAATACACTCTGTGATTCAATTGTGTATTAAACATGAAGAGAAGGCTCCATTATGTAGGAGAGCTAATACAACATCATTATGATACTACAGCATGAAAGAAAACATATAGAAATAAAAAGCAGTCGAAAGTGGAAGGCACTACCTATACAACTAAGCAAAGCACTACAACAAATCATCTGATGGAGAAGCACTAACTAATGTATATATTAAATATATATTAATGATATAAGCATGCAGCTGGTATTATTATATTAACAATAGCTTAATTTCCAACACTCCCCCTCAAGCTACGTTGTAGATGTTAATCAATCCCAATTTTTCCGTCAGATCTTCGAAGTTAACGCGAGCAAGAGCTTTTGTGAGAATGTCAGCCTTTTGATAGTTTGTTGGAGTGTAGCTGACTTGAAAAACTCCTTCTTCAATCTTTTCCTTGATAAAGTGTCGATCTATCTCCACGTGTTTCGTTCGATCATGATGAACCGGATTCTTAGCTATACTGATGGCGGCTTGGTTGTCGCAGTATAAAACCATGGGATGCTCAGATGGAACCCGTAATTCTTCTAACAGCCTGTTCAACCAGATTCCCTCACAGACACCTAGTGCCATAGCACGAAATTCTGCCTCAGCACTACTACGGGCTACCACTGACTGTTTCTTGCTTCGCCATGTAACCACGTTCCCCCAAACAAACGAACAATAGCCAGAAGTTGATCTTCGATCAGTCAATGAACCTGCCCAATCTGCATCTGAAAAAATCTCAATTTTTCTATTTGTTGTTCTTTGGAAGAAGAGACCCTTTCCCGGTGTCCTTTTTAGGTACCTCAATATTCTGATCACAGCAGTCATGTGTTTTTCGGTTGGATTATTCATGAATTGACTGACCACACTAACAGAGAAGCCGATGTCTGGCCTTGTATGAGAAAGATAAATGAGTTTTCCCACAAGACGTTGATATCTCCCTTTATCACTTGGTGCACTACCGTCACTTTCTTCCAGTTTGATAGTTGTGTCCATAGGAGTTTCTGCCGGCTTGCATCCTAGCATCCCTGTTTCATTCAGTAAGTCTAGAACGTATTTACGTTGTGAGACTGCTATACCTTTCTTTGACCTAGCAATCTCCATTCCAAGAAAGTACTTAAGATTTCCAAGATCTTTAATCTCAAATTCCTTTGTTAGGAATTTTTTAAGTAAGCCAATTTCCTCTTCATGATCACCTGTTAGAATTATGTCATCCACATAAACAATGATAATTGCCAATTTCCCTCCTAGGGAGTGCTTCAAAGGAAGCAATGACAGGTCCTGAAGCACCTTTGTGGAAAGAGACTGTTAATAATGAAATTGAATCCATTATGCAAATCATACTTGGGAATTGGTAGATCTTCCACCTGGTTCTAAACCTCTTGGATATAAATGGATATTCAAGAGAAAAATGAAAGCAGATGCTCTTGGAAGATCAGTAATTGCCCAAGTACCATTCTTTTCCAGAGCCCGAACTTCCTCATTGACTGCCGCCTTCCACTGAGGAGACTTGAAGGCTTCCTGAATATTCTGAGGAATGGGTATCTCTGTGATGCTAGAAGTGAAGGCACGGAATGAAGGTGATAGCTTATCATAAGAAATAAAGTTCCCAATGGGATGCTGAGTACATGATCTAACTCCTTTTCTCCAAGCTATGGGCATATTAAGAATACTATTTTCTAACTCAGAATTATCAGTACTATCTGTGGGAGGAAGATTGTCACCTGGAATGTTGCTTGGATTAGAACCCGGTTCAGCCTCATGGGTTTGTTGAGAAAGTGCTCCTTCCTCCATTTCCTCTTGGATGTGTTCATTATCCCGCAAGGCAACAATGAACTCGGAATTTTCGGCAGGTAAAGATTGATTCAATGACTCAGGAGGTGTGGGATTTTTGGTGGTGATGGATGGCTCACTAAATGACTCAAGGGTCCAAAATTGATTTTCCTGGGTTGGAGTCTCCCCCTGAATATCAATTTTAGGGTAGTAAGACTGGGTTTCAAAAAATGTGACATCCATGGAATTATAGAATTTCTTTGTGACCGGAGAGTAACACTTATACCCTTTCTGATGTGACGAATACCCAATGAAGATACACTTGAGCGACCTGGGATCAAGTTTACTTCGATACTGGTGATGGATATGAACAAAGACAGAGCACCCGAAAATTTTTGGTGGGATGGTGGAGATGAGGCGAGTAGTTGGAAAGGATTTTAGGAGAAGTTGACAAGGAGTTTGGAATTGTAGTACCCTAGATGGCATCCTATTGATAAGGTAGGCTGCTGTAAGAACAGCTTCCCCCCAGAAGAATTGTGGAACATTTGTGGAAAACATTAGCGATCTAGCAACATCTAACAAATGTCTATTTTTCCGTTCAGCGATGCCATTTTGTTGTGGGGTGTCAACACATGAACTTAAGTGAACTATCCCTTCTTTGGCTAAAAATTCTCCTAGAATGGAGTTGAAATAGTCCCGAGCATTATCAGATTTTAGAATTTGGATTTTTGACTGGAATTGTGTCTGAATCATAATTTGAAAATTTTTGAAAATTTGGCTTGTTTCAGATTTGTCTTTCATGAGGAAGACCCAGGTTAATCTAGTGTGATCATCTATGAATGTGACAAACCACCTAGTACCAGTTACATTTTTTATTCTTGATGGACCCCAGATATCACTATGAATTAGTGAGAATGGACGAGACGCTTTATAGGATTGAATGGGAAAATGGGACCGTACATGCTTAGAAAATTGACAGATTTCACAATCAAAAGGTTTTGGATTTTTATTAAATAATGAAGGAAATAAATGCTTGAGATACATAACATTCGGATGACCTAAGCGATAGTGCCACAACATAATTGCTCTATCGTTATTTTGACACGAAACCGAAAAAGAACTACCACAAATTGCCGTTTGAGGTTGTTCTTGTGGATAGTGGCGTTCCTTAAGGATGTAGAGTCCAGAGCATTCCTCAGCATTGCCAATCGTCTTCCCCGAATCCAAATCCTGAAATTCACAATGAGTTGAGAAAAAATTAGTAACACACCTCTTTTCCTTAGTGAGTTTACTAATTGACAATAAATTACAGTCCAAGTCAGGAACAAGGAGAACAGAGTTGAGAATAAGATTCCTAGACAGCACAACTGAACCTATACCGGCAACCTTTGATGGTGAACCATTTGCTATTCGGACCGTTAAATTATTTTGACATGAGCTATATGTATCAAAAATTGTTGCATCTCCCGTCATATGATCAGATGCTCCTGAGTCCACAATCCAAGGTTTTTTACATTTCTTACTAACAGTAAAGGCGTTCAAAGAATTACCTTTGTGAGCCAAGGTTCCGGATCCTATGATGTGGTTGGAAGACGAACCAGATTGTGACTGTAGAATAGGAGACATTAGTTTCTGGAGCATCTCCATTTGCTCCTTGGTGAAAGGGCTTGCTTCAGGTTGTGGTGATCGTTCATTTGTACCTACATGATTACCTCGTCCTTCTTTCTCAAGAGGCTGACGTGGCTTCCAATCTGCTGGCTTTCCATGAATCTTCCAGCAAGTTTCTCTCGAGTGACCCGGCTTTCTGCAATGATCACACCAAGGCCTACCTCCTTTATTTTTCTGACGGTTGTCAATAGGAGCGAATTGAGTCTTAAGAGCCGAGCTTTCTGCCATATTCAGTTGTTGATGGGATCCCATCATGAGTTTTTTCCGGCTTTCTTCGCGACGGACTTCAGAGAATGCCTCTCTAAGGCTAGGTAGCGGTTTTACTCCCATAATTCTTCCTTTGATTTCATCAAGATTTGTGTTCAATCCTAACAAGAATGTAAACACATGCTTCCCTTCGACAATCTTTTTATACAACAAACCATCAGCAACACACTGCCAGTTATGAACCTCAAACGTATCAAGTTGACGCCATAGACGAGTAAGGGTATTGAAATATTCAGTTACCGTAAAATTGTCTTGACGTAAATCGTGGAGGGAGCTTTCAAGCTGGATGATTTCAGATGTGTTTTCCTTGTCTGAAAACGTTTCTTTTACCATGTCCTAGATCTCTTTGGCAGTATCAAATGACAGAAAATTTTCGCCAATGTCAGTGGTCATAGAGTTGACGAGCCACAACATGACCATGTTATTTTCAGCTATCCACCTTTTGTCGGTTGATGCTGTGGTTTCTGGTAGTGCTGAGGCTCCGGTGACGTAGTCGTCTTTCTCCTTTCCCCGTATAAACATTAATATGGATTGAGACCATTGCAAATAATTTTGCCCATTCAGTTTATGGGCGGTGATCCACCCTGAAATATCAACCTTATCCATACACTACCACCCACCTTCAAACCCAGCATATATATCACCCCATCCCACCTACCTAAGCCTGAGGTGGCTATTCCTTTAAGCACGGATATGTGCATGATGCATATAACACCCAAAACCCAGTCAAGGCCTGTGGTGGCAAAAATGGAAGAGAAGAGGAATTCACCAAGAAAAGGGTTGTCTGATGCCTAAGTTGTGGAGAAGAGTCCCTCACATGCTGATGAGTATGACTCCAGTCGGTACATTGTGGCTATTGACCAACCAAGACTCATAAATGAAAGAAATATTGAGAGAGTGATTGAAAGAGCTAATACACTCTGTGATTCAATTGTGTATTAAACATGAAGAGAAGGCTCCATTATATAGGAGAGCTAATACAACATCATTATGATACTACAACATGAAAGAAAACATATAGAAATAAAAAGCAGCCGAAAGTGGAAGGCACTACCTATACAACTAAGCAAAGCACTACAACAAATCATCTAATGGAGAAGCACTAACTAATATATATATTAAATATATATTAATGATATAAGCATGCAGCTGGTATTATTATATTAACAATAGCTTGATTTCCAACACTTTCGTCAAATGGCCAGCAAAATTGGGATAGGCACAAAAAGACTATGACGAGAGGTCCCGATGTACCTTCCATAATGAAAAGGGGCACCGCACTGAAAATTGCACGCTGTTGAGACAGCACTTGGAGGAGTTAGTGGCAACTGGGCACCTGGACCAGTACATAGAAGGAGGGACACAACCAGCCCCCCAAAACCACGACAACCCAAACGGAAACAGAATGCCGATCGACGCCCCACCTCAAGGCATGATTAACGTAATACATGGGGTATTCAAGCCTGAGCGGGTATGTGAGCTCAGGGGCATGATAAAAAAGGCTGAGCACTTAAGGAAGGTATTAAGTGCACAACCTGCCATCAAAAAGGAGAGAACAGAAGCCACGAACGTCATATCTTTTTCAGACAGAGACTTGGCAAGGATATATTGCCCTCACAACGATGAACTAGTTGTCACTCTCCGCGTCAAGGATTTCGACGTCAAACGGATTTTGATTGACCAAGGGAGCTCATGTGAGATAATGCATTATGAAACCTTCAAACAACTGAAACTGGAGGATAAAGACTTGGCACCCGCCGTATCCCCCCTGATCGGATTCAACTCAATGCCAGAGTGGCCAGTTGGCAAGATAATCCTCACAGTCAGAGTAGGAAGCATGACAAAACAGGTGGAATTCTGGGTATTGAAAGTCCCTTCCACTTACAACATAATCTTGGGAAGGACTTGGTTACACGCCATGCGATCGGTAGCGTCAACCTACCATCCAGTAATGCGGTTCCCTAACGAAGCCGGAGTAATTGAAGAGGTCTTTGGAGACCAAATTATATCCAAAAAATGCTTCGTCATAGTAAATGGCAGCCGCGCTGCAAAGGGGTATGTACAGATAGTGGAAGAACCTGAGAGTAATGAGTTGTCCGCAGATGTTGGCAAAGCCATTGAACAGAAGGTAGTGGAAGACTTGGTACAGGTAAGGATAGATGAAAAGAACCCGGAAAAGTTCTTTTTGCTCGACTCATCTATGTCCAGCACTGAGAGATTAGAGGTCATGAAATTCTTGACCTCTAAGATCGAAGTGTTCGCCTGGACGCTGTATGATATGCCAGGCATTGACCCAAACTTCATTTGTCATCAACTGAACGTCCACCCAACTGCAAGACCAGTCATACAGCGCACTCGCAGATCGGCACTCCACCATGCCGAGATAGTGGCGGAGGAAGTAGAAAACTTGCTGGAGGCAGGAGCTATCAGAGAAGTGCACTATCCTAAGTGGATATCCAATATGGTGGTGGTGCCAAAGAAGAATAGAAAATGGCGTGTCTACGTGGACTACAAAACAGTCAACAAGGCATGCCCAAAAGATAGCTTTCCCTTACCGTGGATAGACCAACTGGTAGACCTAACGGCAAGACACAATCGACTTAGCTTCCTTGATACGTATAGAGGTTACCATCAGATTGCTATGTATGAGCCTGACCAGGAGGTCACATCCTTTACAACGCCCAGAGGGTTGTATTGTTATAAGGTCATGCCTTTTGGCCTAAAGAACGCAGGGGCAACATTCCAACGAATGGTCACCAAGATGTTTGAACCATTGTTAGGCAGAACAATGGAGGCTTACATCGACGACATGGTTGTCAAGAGCAAGGATGAGAAGGACCATCTCAAGGACCTAGATGAGATGTTCCAGATCCTGAAGAAGAACAAGTTACGCCTTAATGCATCTAAGTGTGCGTTCGACGTAGGATCAGGCAAATTCCTAGGCTTCCTGGTGACCAACCGAGGTATAGAGGCAGACCCCTCTCAGATCAAAGCAATCCAGGATCTTGAGAGGCCCAACACAGTCAAGGAAGTGCAGCATCTCACTGGCATGGTAGCTACACTCAACCAGTTCATAAGTCAGTCGTCAGATAGATGTCGACCATTTTTCCAAGCATTAAAAGCCAAGTTTGAGTGGGACGAAGAATGCGACCGCGCCTTAGAGAGCTTGAAAGAATACATGTCTTCTCCACCGTTGCTAGTAACCCCAATACCTGGAGAAGAGCTCTTTTTGTACCTGGTCGTTTCACAGCACGCAGTCAGCGCGGTATTGATCAGAGCGGAAGGAATCCAACACCTGCCCATCTTTTATGTCAGCAAGACATTGCTGGGCGTAGAAACCAGGTACTTACCATTGGAAAAACTGGCCTTAGTATTGATGATGACATCAAGGAAGTTGTCGCATTACTTTCACGCCCATACCATAATCGTCCTCACAGTTTTTCCATTAAAAGCTTTGTTTGAGAGGGTGAACTTTCTGGGCGAATCTTGAAGTGGGCAGTGGAGTTGGGACAGTTTGACATCAAGTTTCAACCCAGAACCGCAATAAAAGCCCAAGCATTGGCAGACTTTGTGGCAAAGTTCATGCCAGGAAACCATCACATCTGCCCAGTTGACTTGACTAGAACAACTGAAATGAGGACGGAAAGTGTCGCAGCAAATACGCAACCCCTAATACAAGATACTCAGCCACATTGTGGATCACATAGGCCTGAAGACAAGCACGAAGAGGCAGACCATGCTACACTAGGCCCCAAAGACTCATCAACAAACAAAAACTTGGTACAACCAGATAGTGAGGGGCAAACAGTAGGTGTGGA